AATCCCATTCTAAAGGAATGACACAATTATTCATCCAGTTACTCATACTAGAAACATTCAGTTTTGTCCTTAAATTCTCTCTCCAACTTTCTTATATAATCACTAAATCTTATCTCTTTCTTAAATATGTCTGTCTTGGAAGCCTACCCATTGGAACTAATTTAGGAAACAACACACAATGGAAAAAAAGACAGAAGTAAGGAAAAAAATGTACATTATCTGTGACTTGTACTAAGCAAAAAAAAAAAAAAAAAAAGGTGATGGACTCATTGGAAAATGTCTTTGACATACACATATTCCGAGAACACTGCTCTGATAACTGTCAACATCAAAGCAAACAGGAAATACTCATAAGCGAACATAGCCTTTGCCTCTTTGATCAAGACTGTCCTGTGTTGACATTTACGTTACTATCAACTTCCTTCAAAGAGTGTCAATTTTTATTTCCTTTTTAAGTCCCTAAATGTATCTCTCATCTTGGATTCAAACACTGCTAAATTTATACCTTAATAAGCAGATAGCCGATATATATGCATACATGAGCATAATGATTAAAATGATATAAGGATCTACTTAAATATACACAGGAACAATGGGTTGAATAAATTGGAAAATACAGTCTGAAATTCAGAAGTTAACTAAATTCGAGTTACTGTATTAATCTTATCACAGTCAGCCTTTAAAATTAAAATAATCCAAAATGCATGCCTTTTCCCAGTCCAATAAGGGAAATATCTTTGTTCCATTTTGAGAAATGTGCCTCTACAGCACCAGGATTAATTGAATTAAATATTTTGAAAGAAAAATGTAATAATAAGAAAAATAAATTGGAAATGTTTTTGGTTTGACATAACTCCACCACACATCAGCAGCATTTTGTGAAATGCTGAAATACATACTTGACTCTGGGAATTAGCTCCTCATTATTGCAAGTAGTAGACAAAGGACACATTTCAATAACAAGATAGTAAACCCCAGAGCTTAGAAATCCTCGTGGCAGAGCTGAAGGCTGAAGGGAAACTGTATATTCTCTTTTTCCCTCACAGTGAAGGGATGTGGGCCACCTTATAAATACTTCTACAATGATGCTCTATTATTTGATGGCTTTGGCTTCATTCAGAATTTTTAAAGGTATGAATATAAGGAGATTATGAAGATAGCATAGAATCGGCCAGGAAAAGCTTAAATACGCTGTTTGACAGTGACAATGTGAGCCTCCAAACACCATCCATATGCCAGAGATGAATGTGTACTTATCCTTCACAGGAAATGCATCTTGAAAATGCTCATTTTTTACTGTACTGTAACTCTATAGTAATGTATTTTATAAAAGCAAAATCCCATATTTAATCCCTACTGAGGTCTTATATTGAAAACTGAAGTACATTAGAGGAAAGATTGTCATATCTCAAAGGAAAAATAGGAAACTAAAGTTCCCGCATTGTAAATTATGATGCAAAAATGTAAGCAGAAAAAATTCTACGTGGAAAGAAAGACAGTTTTCACTCATATAGGATAATACTTAGGTTTACACTTTGTGAATCTGGAAGCCCTGTGTAATTGGTTGTAGAAGTTATTAAATCATTCATAAATGGCCAAAGCAGGAGCTTTAACTGTGAAACACTGTATTGTCGTCATAATTTGAAACAGTATTTAAACTATATAATCATGTTTATAATTCTGTGATAATACCTACAAAAACCTTTAGCCTTGGGGATTCCGCCTATTTGGTCATATTTATAAACATTTTTTATATAAGACATTGGAACAAAAATAACATAAGTGAAGGTTATCTTTCACAATTCTGTACTTATTTTTCTTTTTCTAACATATTTGAAAAAGACTGGTTTCTTGTTCTCTCTCTGCTCTGAAGTTCACTCTATGTAAAGTATAACATATGTAAATGTTTCAAAATATAACAACAGTTTGCTCAAACTGGAATAAATCTCATTATAACCATGACAGTGCATTGTTTATGACAAAGAAATGAGCTGAAGTTTTATTATACTATAGAGTAGAGAGAAAATAAGTTCACATGGTTATCAAGCATGGTCTACAGGTACAAAATACCCTATTTCCAAGAGAAATGGCAATATAAATAAAGAGTGGAACTCTGTTATCCACATGTGAAATAATATTTAGAGACATTCACAATTATCAGAATGCATTATGTCAACATCCTAGGAGTGCCTGGTTGTAAATGTTTTCCTATAGTTAGGAGAGACTAGAAAACCCATCAAAAAATGGGTCATTTTTTGGGACTGCCCATAGCATTCTACTGTATATCTAAATGAAAATCTTCAAATATTCTAAGAACAATGGAAGAATGCTTCATTTGTTTTCCTTCAGAATTTCTTGGTTCTAGTACGAATGTCCTTGTGACTCAGATCAGAAATCCAGAATGGATTTCATAGATGATTCCACTATTCCCTAGTACAGAAAGAATACCGAATTTATGGGACTCATACATGTTTTTGCTGACTCCACTCACTGTGAGGAGCCTCTGGAAGCATTTTACCTGGAATGAAATACAGAGCCTCATTTCACTGAAATTGTGATAAATAAAACTGAAAATCAAAATCCTGTCCTTGAGGACCATATGCAATTGTTAGTTCTGACAGAGGGAATCAGAAAATCTTAAGGATAGACCTTCTTCATTCCAAAAACAACAACAACAACAACAAAACACTCTAAAGAGACTAATTATTTTTTTAAATGTTAAGCAAATACACTCTTCTGAAATAGAACTCAGGATCCTGTTGGCTTCATGATGGAGAAACACTTGGATTTGGGGTTAAAGAGTGCCCTTATGAGGCTAGTGGACTACACTGCTTTAAGAGGAGGATTTTCATGAGAGACTATGGACTCTGAGAAACTGAGGGTTCTAGAGGGGAGGGGGTGGGGGGATGGGTTAGCCAGGTGATGGGTATTAAAGAGGGCACGTACTGAATGGAGCACTGGGTGTTATACGCAAACAATGAATCATGGAACACTACATAAAAAACTAATGATGTAATGTATGGTGATTGACATAATTAAAAAAAAAGAAAAAAAAAGATGGAGGGTTTTAGGGGTAGTGGGCCAAGTATGGATATTCTATTTTTCATGAGTCGAAGCCACTTGCCTTGGATTGAAGATGAAAGTTTGTAACAACAGTTCTTATGAGCTACAGCGAAGCTGATTTTTAACTTACTTTTGTAGCTATCATTATTGAAAACTCTTGTTAATTCTAACAATCCTTCAGTAAATTTTTTTTGGAATTTCTAAGCATATAACCTCATTAATGATTATTTTACTGTTTCATTTCAATTTGTTGTATCCCTCTCTCTTATTCCCTTAGTATAAGGTAGATTGCTTTCAATCTAGTTGGACTAATAAAGTATTTTTGAATTTTGAACAGCAATTTAAAGAAAGGATGGATTTGAGAAGCTAGAAATAGGTTGTAAACTCAGGAGCTATTAAAATAGTTTTGGAAACTAATGATGTAATGTATGGTGATTAACATAACAATAAAAAATTATTAAAAAAAAAGTTTTGGAGTGAGCAATGATAACCAACCTTAGGATAATGCTAAAGAGAATAGAAAAAACATATAGCCAAGAGTTATAATGGGTCAAGGAGGAACGAGAAGCTAGAAATGACTTCAAAGCTTTAAACTTAAAAAAAAAGTGTGCGATTTGACTGTGACCAGAATTAACAATTCCCTAAAACTTTAAAAAATAATATTAAAAAATTGAAGATAAATTTTATTACTGAACTAAATATATCAAATATATATATTTGTGTATATGTTTCTTCAATGCTTTATGCTCTCTATAATATGGGAAATGTATGTGTTCAATAAAAATAATTTCAATATATATTTAAAATTCTAGAATATGAACAGATTGATTTCAGATGAATCTTTGAAATCTTTGAGCAGCATTGTACCTTATTGCATTCCTTTTATTTTAGACAACAAAACAAAACATTTTGCCAACAGTTGGCCTATCCTAGTTATTAAAACTTTTTTACACAGATTGTCACCAGCTGAGCTAAAATAGCAGCTGTCCACTGGAAATAATTGCAGAAATGTTTTGCCCATTGGCCTGAAATCAAACATATGTTTTCCTGTAACAACTAAAATATAACTTTCTTTATTGACATGTGTTAATTATTGAGGAGTGTTAATTACAGAGTTATACACCTGGATTGTCAGACTGGCATAAGATTCCATTATTTAGGGGGTGGGGATTTTCACATATTTTAATTTTTAGTATTTCAAATAGTTGAGAAAGTAAGACTATATTCTACATTTTTTTTAACTTAACATTTGTCTAAGAGCATGTCTATACAAAGCAGAAGGAATAAATAGCTCATTTTCCCCCATATCTAATCAGTGTTGGGAGCTAATTTAAATATACCATGACAGAATCTTTAGTTCGGATTATAGGGATTTTCTATCTCCTTTGCACTTATATTTAGGGGATTATAATAAGCTTCACAACTTTTCATGCTCTGTATGAATTCTTCAAACACTTCAATTAGTATAAACTGTAAAAAGGAATAATTGATAACGTAGCAAGTCTTCAACGTTTGGTTTCTATTTCTAACTTCGCACTGTTTTCACATATATGGACTGTCTGTCTAGTTTGCTAATAAAGACTTTTAGTTGATTTTAGGGGTTTCATGCCTGGAATAGTCAACAAAGAAACATACTCCTCTCTCCACATAGGTCATTTAAAACCGTACATTTACCAGTGTGCCTTACCGTCAGTCATAACACAGCAGATAAGGGCTGTGGGATTGCTCAGGGGCATGTTTACAAATGTCATTGAGGATTCTTTATGATTCTGACACCTAAAAATAAACGCAGAGCTTTTCTTCCTAAAGTTAAAATAATAACAGTTCCACATGGTCATTTACTTTGTCTAATACATTCTTCCATCAAAGCAAACATGGCTTCTCAGTATGCGTGGTGGTGTTACCTTCACAGAAAATGAAAATAAAGGAAATGTTACCTTCTGTATAGTAATGATTCCTTCCTGTGTGTCTTTGTCAACAGAAATCTTGAAAATTCCCAATCCGTCACCATCCACAATTTTGTATTCCATTTCAGCATTAGCTCCTATATCTGCATCAGCTGCTTTGATCCTGGCCACCACGGAGGCCACTGGCAATGACTCTGGGACGTTATACTGGTAAGACCCTGTGAAATTCCCATCAAGAAGTGAACAAACTACACAGAAGCCAACCAATAAATACTTAACTATTTGGTTGCTTTGCATCATTTTTGCTTAGTTTTGCTTTATTTTACTAAAAAAGATGTTAAGGCAATATGAGATAAATGACAAGTTTCATATAGACTTAAGAAATTTCTTGGTGATAATCTAAAATAATTAAAACGTGACAGCAGAAACAGCCTGAGGAAGGCAATGATAAGAGTCTCCATTCCTGTATTTCTAGTGGTGAGAAATAAGCAATTTTTAATAATGAGACAAATTTAAAATAATTATACATAAGATCAATATGTAACCATTGAATCTAAATAATTAAAATATAATTAATATAAATATTAAAAAATAAAAACAGTATAGCTTAGGCTTCAAATGGGCAAACACAAGCCTAAATAATTCTGATTACTTATTGTTAGGATGTACATAACAGTGTCTTTTACTAAGAAAGTTTCAGACAACTGGACAAGGACGTTGATGAAAGACCACATTAGCCTTGTTCTGGCTCATAAATTTATCAGGAATGAGAGTTATCTCTGTGGGTTGTATGATTTGGAACACAAAGGCACAAGAGCAGAGGTGATATTCAAACAGAAGGAAAGAAAAGTAAAATAGAAAGAGAAGCTTTTTAACTTTCTTTTGTAAAAATTCCTCTTCACCATCCTGCAAGTCAAGAAAAAAACCAAAAAAACAAACAAAAAAACCAGTTTGGAAAGCATGTGACCGTGAATCATCCCTTCAAAACTAGAAAACTCCTCAGAACCATTTTTCTTTAATCATCTGTTTTTTCCTGTTTCCTCTACCTATTCCATTCCCTTCAGGTTGTTAAATGTGGTGTATTTTCACTTTCTTATGAAGAGAAAAGATTCTCTTCGAAGGAACTGAAGGGACCCCATTTTCAGCTCAGAATTACTATTGTTAGCAATTTTCTACATTTTGTGAACATTGATTAAAAAGAAATAATGACAAGATATGCTGATGACTTTTGAGTGACTTCTTTTACAGATCCAGAAGCATCCTTAGTAAAATCCAGAAATTTTAAGGATAGAATATTAACTACGCATTAACTACACATGGTAGAGAGAATCCCAGCAAAAATGAAAAACCTAATGACATACCCTTGGCTTCCCTCACTTTAATAAGGAGGAGAGTATCTAATATATGCTAGAAAACCTGTACTGTATCTTATCAAATCATGACAACTGAAATAACACAAGTTCTAAGTATCAATTCTTACCACTCTAGGCTAAAAATAATAGTTAATTTTATTATGAGCCCAATATAATTACATTATTGTTTTGCTTATTCTACAACCTTCCTCTCCTCTCCCATTATAAGCTATCAAGGGCACGGTAAGGATGAATTCATTTTTTGTGAATGCTAAACTTAGAGTAATTTCACTTTATTTTGTTAGGGAGTATTAAAATGTGTGTAGTATAACAATATCATATAATAATATTACATATTAAAATATGTAAAATAAAAATGAAACATCCAAAGACAGATTTTCAGGAAAACACAGTGACTTTCATGTTCACAGAGAAAGCTTCTTTGACATTGTTCGCTTCTAAGACCTGTTTTTGTAAGGGAGCTTCATTACTCATGTCTATCAAACAAACATTTTAGAGACATCATAGTCTATACAATTTCCTTATTTTCCTGAGAGTTGTAAAGAAACACCACATACACTTACAAAAGAAAAAAGAAAAACTAAAAGACAGTGAGATGAAATGCTTTTCTATAATCAAGACATTTCTACCTAGAATTCACCTCCGCCCTTTTTCTTGGCTAAGTCAAAAGCCACTTTGGTCATAGAAACTAAATTGAGGGCATGTGGTTTTCTGGTTCTTTGAATTGACTTCTTTAGAAACACTGAATGTTTGCACAAGAAAGAGATGGTAGAACTGCTAAAGGAATGTTTAATGTGCATGAAGTGGTAAAAAAAAAAGTGTGGAGTAAAAAATGAAAAAGTTTAGTGCTCTTCTATTTTTATCTTTAAAAATGAATCAATACTTTCGGTGTATAGAATGCATGAAATGTATCTGAATGTTACAACTGGCAACAACCTTGTAACATACAGAATGTGTACAAAGAATATCTTAGAATGAAAAGATGAATATATAAATAAACTTAATAACTGTCTGGTATTAAAAATGTGAACCAAAGAAAAACCATACTATATTGAAGACAGAAGTAATACAAAGATGATTGCCTCTTTTCATTTTCAATACCCTTATTATTCCACATTTCTGAATTAAAACCATGCCCCTGATAAAACAAAATTGTGGGAGAATGTAGTAAGATAATCACTTGCTTGAGAAGTATTTGGAAAAATTCCTTTTAAAAGACCTTTTTATAGACTGGCAAGGAAAGTTAGGGCACTTGCAGCATTTAACAAAATAGCTTACTTCGAGGAAAGCGAGGTGGGTTATCGTTGACATCAGTTAGGGTCACGGTGACTGATGTAGTTCCTGAGAGTCCTCCATTTTGACCAACCATATCCTTTGCCTGAATAACAAGCAAATACTGGTCTTTAGCCTCTCTATCCATGTTTGGAAGGGCGGTCTTGATGACTCCTGTAAAATTTCAAATCCCAGTAAAACGCATCATGAATCATTGCATTTATACTAGTGAAGAACACTAATATAGTTAGCAAGTCATTCCTGAGTTGTTGCCTTTTGTTTTATTTTAAATAATCTTACTGCCTATTAAAGACCAAAGGGACATAATAGTTATATACAATATTACAAAACAGAGAGTGCTGTAACATGGAAAAGCAGGGCTTCTCAATATTGGATAGAGAGGATTATCTTTCAGTTTTATAAAAACATGGTTCGGAAATACCAACTTATAAATAAATAACATGAACGCGAACTCCTCATCCAAAGTAATGGGCAGAAACCTGTGCAGGTACATGACAATGAAACTCTCCTTTTCTTCTCTTTCACCCTCTCTAACTACGTAATTCCCAGGTGATGTGAAATCAGTATAACCTTTCAGTTATGGTTCCTATTACCTCTCTTTGAGCAAAATGGCTGAAATAGTCTAAAAAGAAAAAAATGAGAGTGATTTATGTTTAATAAGAAAAACACCATTTCAAACTATGGCTATGGTTGTGGATGTGGTTATGATGCAGGACGATCTTATGCTTTATCGAATGATCTGAGATAAAGTACTAAAGATGAGAATGACTATGTCAATATAAATCAGCAACACTGAAAACATTCATGTGTTTTTTTGTTGTTTGTTTCTAATCAATTGCATTGAATATTGATCACCTTAAGGCTTCAGATGAATGAGAAACTGATTTCAGAGTTTCATTTTGCTCGATGGGGAAACTTGACAGAATCATCACTGGTATAGTAAATTAATTATTTTATAACTATTTAATTACTGCCTAAGTATATTAGGCAATAATATTTAATTATGAGATGAAATTTAGTTTAATGTTAAATAATATGTATACCTAATATACTTAGTATATGTACATAGAGGTGATATCAAATAAAAATGTATTTAATATTGATCTATACAGGCCTTGAAACTAGCAATACGAGGTCATCTTTACCAATTAAATATAAAGAGTTCAGAATCCTACTTAATTATTTCTTGCAATTTCATCTTTTCCAACAAAGACTATGTCTTACCTCTCCACCTAGGACCATAGCTTGAAAGATGTCTAAACTATTTTATTAAACAGACTCTACTTTTTATGGGGAAGTCAGGATTTAAATCCTCACTGACTCAGACCTGCAGAAGAAAAACCCTGGTATTAAGGACTTTTCAGTAGCAAAACAGCAAAACCGGGTTGCTTGATAGAGGATGGTTCTTCGGGAATAAAATAATTGCAAATAATTGTTTAATTTGGGATGAAGTTTCTTTCTTTCCTCATGTTTAGCATAAAAATGTTATATCCTTCTAATTTATAATTCTTTAAAAGCTGCCAATTGTTTAAGGGCTGATTATTCGATGTACACATGTAATAATGGTGTGCTATGTTATATATAATATGTGTTATATTTTATTTATAGTGTAGGTTATATTTCAGCACCAAACATAAGCCTAGGAGAAAGCATACGAGGCCTTCCCTATACTTCATAATATTCCACAGTTTAGTAACTGTTCTAGGGGTGGGAAACAGATGAGAAAATCTTTTCAATAGCATAGGAAAAAATTAAGCAATTTGTTATTGGTTCACAAGATTCCAAGCTAAACAACACTCATCCTGTCTTAAGTAACTGTATTTTTGTTTAGTCTGAGCACTAGCTATCAAACACAAACACACCCACACACTTTACACACATCAACAACACATTAGTATTTTAAGTGTTTAAATTACGCTTCTTTGAGTTAGGACAGTTTTGTTTTGTTTTTAAACGTTGACCACTTTTTCTTATCGGGCAGTGTTGCTACACAGCACAGCAAATACAGGGTCAGTTTAAGTAACTCCTTCCCTGAATTCTTTTTTATTTTATTTTTTTATTATATTATGTTAATCACCGTACATTACATCATTAGTTTTTGATGTAGTGATCCATGATTCATTATTTGCGTATAACACCCAGTGCTCCATGCCCTCTTTAATACCTTTCCCTGAATTCTTCTGGCCATCTACACACTGCTTATAGTTAGTATGTGAAATATCAAAGAAACATAAAAATCATTAGAAAGAGTCACATACTAATTCTGTTTGGTGGATCAGTGTCTAACACATATTCTTCTTAGTGTCATAATGATTCCATGTATATTTCATGTTTGTTCTTCAATACTTCTCTTAACTCTATAATATAATGAGTGCTGATCTCAGTAATAATGCTACTGAGCATAAATAGTCTTTGTTTAAGAGTTCTGGGACTCACAACTCTCTTTTTCCTTTCTTTTGTTTCAGGTGTTAATCATCCTTTATTTATTTGTAACTCCTTTTTTAATAAATTGAGGATTGGCTCTCTTTAATATTTGATCATTAAGTGTATCATTAGATGACAAAATATTAATGAATTATGTTTAGAATCATTTCGTATTCATTCGGTTTCTTTTTTTTCTTATTTAACTTCTATGCCTTTCTTATTTTTCCTCCCAATATCAATAGGTACAAGAGAGCTTACATCCTTGCACCTTTATAATAATGGAGAGAGGCCTTAATATTTCAACTAATCAGCAAGGAAAACATGGCAGCCTTGTCCTCTCATGGTTGGTGACATCATTTTTGTAAGGAAATACAACATTATTAAGAAAGAAGTCTGGTAGTCAAAGTTACTCACTTATTTTTTACACTTCTAATTGTTTCTTTACAAGTGATCCTATAAATAGCACTTTTCCAAAGTAAAAATCATCACAAAGTTTGCAAAGTAACCAGATGGCAAAGGTAATTTCCAAATACCTCAAATATTAAACATATTTTTGACAAGAATGGAATAATTGGGAGAGAAAGGAATTTAAATAAGGACATTCAAAAATAATATATTTCCAGTCCCATGACATTTGCGAGCTCTTCACTTTTAAGTAAAACTGTCTACATTTGGGAAAGAGTTCTCATGCACTGGATTTGATTTGCACTTTGCTATATATTATGGAGAAATACACGTAGGGCAATTTGTTAATGCTACATCTCTGAAGTAGTAAAGGCCAGTTTTGTCTAGCCAGATCCCTAGAGTTCTGTGAGATTTTCATGGAAGACGACAACATTATTTAATTTCAATATCAGCCATTTTAAGCAACTTATGATGAGAAGAATATTTCCTATAGCTCTTTAGGAAAGAGATTAACTCAGATTTTAAGCTTCCTGAATAATAATTTTTCTATAGATGTATCATCTGACCCAATAACCCAGAACTTTCCATTTATTTATAATCCGTGGTCACAAAAAGTACTGTGCATATGAAACAAATTCATCATCACTATTGCTCAACAACTCTCTGGTTTTTAGTCTGGGAATAAATTTTTAGATGATTCTTTAATTTCCTAACAGCCACAGATGATTTTTTTAAAGCATATTCTTTTCCCATGAAACTTCTTAAGAATGTATATATGTATTAAATGTAACAGATAAGAGCTGGTTCTGAAATCCACTCCAGTTTAAGGAACCAAACAATCACCGAGGCCTGGTATCTACACACTCAAATCTCGGACTGGTCCACATGACTCAGGTAACACAGCGCTATGGGGCTTCATGCCCTGTGGATCTGAGAGACATTTGATGTACATGGTGAATCTCTTCCTATTAGTTTATATTTCTTTCTAAATTTTGCATCTAAGCTGTGTTTATATTTGGTTTGTCTCCCTGTAAGTGAAGCATATAATAGAACCATAAAAAGTCAGAGGAGAACCAATGATAGCAAATATGGAAGCTTCTAGTACACTAAACAATTTCAGAGTTGGCATCAAATGAAAAGTCTCTGAAGAAGGGACTCTTGTAATGTCTGAAAGGACATCCTCAGCAAGCCCGACAGGAGTGAGGGTCCGCCACACCATGAGCCATTCCACAGAATGGAATGCATCTGAAGGGCATATTTTGGGGGGGGGGCTTTGTTATGACTGTATTACTTACATAAAATTATGATGTAACAAGTGGGTATGTAACATATGATGCGGGTATCGTATAGTCACATCTCTTATGTTCAAGAAGGAACTCCTAAATGACAAGTGGTGTTTTATCATTCAATCCATTTTTCAGGGACAGCTTCGTGGCCATGTGACCTGTGCAGGGTCACAGGTCCCATGCTTGGTTTCTTGTTCTGTTGATAATATCTTAAAATCCTATTAATTTTAGAAGACAGGGCCTGCATTTCCATTTTGAGCTGCAAATTACGTAGCCAGTCCTGCCATATATCCAATAGACTGAAACATGGGCTCTTTTCACTTGCAGGTTACAGAGTAGATGGATGCCTTAGAATAACCAACCACCAGCCTCCCAGCAGTTTGTGGTCATTATGGAGATAGGTGATGGGATTCTCTGCAGTCCTTTTAATGTTGCCTTATCATGCTTCTAGTGCCATTCTGTTTGCTTATTAGAGCAAACTGTTAGCATTGGCTTTTGCAGCTACTCACATTCTCATCTTATGGATGGAGAAACAAAGGTGGAAAATACAGTTACCCTCTGGTCATTTGTGCTCTGAGTAGTGCTATACGTGTAATATGTGACTGGAGGTTGTAGCCATGCTAGGTTCATGATGTATGATTAATAAATGGTAATGGGCATTATTAATATTAGGGAAAAAAATCAGAAGTTAAACTTATAGAAATGCACCTAACAGTGATTCCCTGTGCCTGTTTTTACAAAATCTTGACTTAGCATATTTTCAGTATTTTTCCTACCAAAAATTTTACTTTCTTTTTAAAAACTCTTAGATTTAAAGATTAAGAAATTCATGTGATTCCTCACATAGATAAAAATCAGACTGACACCAACTATGAAGACTAAGTCAGACTTGATTCACAGATATCCACGCCCTTAAGGATTGAAAACTTCTCATTTTTAAACAAACAGAGAGTTCTAGAGGGGAGGGCGGTGGGGGATGGGTTAGCCTGGTGATGGGTATTAAAGAGGGCACGTTCTGCATGGAGCACTGGGTGTTATGCACAAACAATGAATCATGGAACACTACATCAAAAACTAATGATGTAATGTATGGTGATTAACAATAAAAAATTTTAAAAAAAAGAAAAAAGAAAACTCATTTTTATGAAAAAATAGGTATTTTTTTGCAAACAATACACTATCCATATTATAAATTAACAGATGACAAAAATTCCCAGGATATCTCTGCACTAATGACTCTAGAAAGAGAAGTCCCAATGATTACCATAATTACAGTATGAAAAACTCTAAACCAAACAAAATTAAACCTCTTCATCTCCTACAATACACAATCCTTGAGATTCTGAAATTAGAATTAATTTGAAATACTAATAATGTGATCCCATGACATAGACTATTGTCCACTTGCTCAATCAGAGACCTTCCCTCCACAGGAACTTAAGAAAAAAAACAAAAAAAAAAACAAACGATCATCTTACCACAAAGCTAAAATCACAAGCCAATCATTAGTACCAGCAAAATATTTAACCCTAGGGATTAGTGTATGCTATTTCTGGACAGGTTATATAATGCAGGAGTGTATAATTTGTGAGCAAATTGTCAGAAACTTGTCAATGTCTTTGTAGGCTATAAAGAGTAAATTTATAAGGGAATGGGTGGGTGTTTGAATTTAGGCTTCTCAGATCTATCATTAAATCAACCACAAGCACACGTTCTACATTCATAGGATTCATATCATAAATCAAATACTTTTGTTTACTTCTCCTTCAATACTTGCTTAATCAGAACTGTTTATTTTCTGTTAGACTTTCCAGGTGGCTTCCAGACTCTACCACTAGATTGGTATAAAATATGCAAAGCAATCTCTATAAAAACTCTAACGGTGAAGTAGGATTGAATTTATTTTTCCATTCATGCACATTACAACTATCATTTTCAAAAGACACTTAAAATATTTATCCTCCACAGTGATTTGAAAATGAATTAATATTACCATTTATATGGAAAACAGTCTAAGTACCATTAAAATAATCATTTAGGGTCACGGTACTATCCAATAGTCATAAAGTTGGCTGTTTGAAGAATAATTTTCTTCATGATAAAGACAAAATTGCTACAATATGGAGAAATTTTGCATTTCATGGTGAAGAAGACCAGTGACACAAACCACCCATCTCCACACTCCCCCCTCCTCCCTCCACCCAGAGCCAGAAAAGCAGACTAGATAAAATGTCATTTTATAACCAGGACAACAGTGCCCCAAATTAGAGTCCTACTTAATGTAAACTATTTCAGCTTAAAAGCAAAACAGAACATCTTCTATCCAGGCAGTCAGACAACTCATAAAAAATGTTTTTTTCCTTCAAAAGTTAAAAAAAAATCACTTAATCTAGTTTTTGATTTAGCAGATCATCATCCTAATTGTTACGTTTAAACTAATTCTCCGGAGTAAACCAGACTCTGAAAGGATAAGCTGAACCTACTACCTATCCTACTGCATGGCAGGGAGGTTTTTGCTCGAGATTTAAACTTAACTGTGTGTGATTCCTACATGAATTAGTTAAAGAAAGCAAGACAAAACAAAACAATGTAAATTGTTTTCTTATATAGTCAGGGCATAGCAACTGAACACTTTTTTTTTTTAACACATAATACTTTAATTTTGGTAGAAATTCTGCTAACTGTAATAAAATAGTCTTGGAAGATGCTAATGCCTCTATAAATTATATGCTGCTTACTACCCCAGTTCACATATTGAGAGAAGCACAATAGCAATGTACTGTCTGTTTTCAGTGCCAACTATATTGAATAAAAATAACTAATATTAACTCTGTGCCAAAATATAAATGATGACATTACAAGAAGAGTCACATTTCAATGTTTACCTGTCTTTGGTTCCACTGAGAAGTAAGGCTGTCCTTGCAGAATACTGTAGACCACTCGGGCACTGTTGCCATACGTAGGATCATCAGCATCTGTTGCTGTCACTTGTACCACTGAGGTCCCTACATGCCAATCCAAAAACCAATGCATTTAAAACTTCCAAATGCCACAAAACAGAATGATTCACAAAATGCTGAACATGCTACATTTGTTTTTAATTATTTTCTTTTTTCATGTTTCAAGGCATGTGAAAAATTGACATATTTTTTGTAAAAGACAAACCCAAAATGAAGATAAATGCTAATTAAGCCCTCAGAAAGATTTAAGGAATACAAAAATATGTTAGCAAAAAAAAAAAAAATAAGATTGATGATGCACATTGGGAGGATACTCAGAATTGGAAGGGACTCAAATTTTAGGCATCTCATCCATCAGGGTCAGGTAACAAGTTTTTATCAAGAGCAATCTCTGTAAGTCTCAATTACTGTCCAGAAAGGCAGTGCGACAAGTAACAGCATCTTGACACCCAAGTCACTGAGGGGATCTCACTATTATAGCTGAGCAGAGCCAGACAGAAAATGAAACTTCATTAACTGAATAAAGAATATCTGATGGATCTACTTAACTGAATATTAGGGGCATGTTTTCAAGAATAGTTTTAGTTTTCATTTGTTTCTATGAATTGATTTAAAAATAAAAGTATACAATGAAAATTTACACCACCCCCCCAAAGGAGAACCAAGTATGGCAACTTTAAAAATTGCATTATTAGTTGTTTTTCTATATTTCATGTGATAGAATGTCCTATGGCTTCTGCATTTATTATGTATTCACTTATTCCACATGGAAAGCATTTATTGTGATGTGTTCTTTTTATTTCCATTTGAAGCAGAATCTTAAAAATGTTACTCACATTTACTTAGTTTATATATTTAAGCACATGCTATTTTATCATTTATGTCTTATTGATGGGAATGGAAAAGTCTTTTTGTATTCTTCTAAGGTTTTAATTTGTTTCTAATAATTTATTGAAAATATTTTTAATCAAATATCTCATCAATATATTTCTTTTTTTTAAGGATTTTATTTATTTATTTGACAGAGAGAGACACAGCGAGAGAGGGAACACAAGCAGAGGGAGTGGGAGAGGGAGAATCAGGCTTCCCGCTGAGCAGGGAGCCCGATGTGGGGCTCGATCCCAGGACCCTGGGATCATGACCTGAGCCGAAGGTAGACACTTAACGACTGAGCCACCCAGGCACCCCTCATCAATATATTTCTAAAGAGATTTCCCTAAGTCCTCTAATCTTAGAAGTCATTAATGTCCATCTTGTTACAAATCTATTGTCTTTTCAACACCAAGATTTTCCTTACCAATCCCATTTTCTTTAAAAGTGGGTGCATGTTATGAAGCTAGAGCACTTTTTTTTTTAATTCTGATTTTTTTTTTTTTTTTTTGTATTTGACAGAGTTAGTTGATTGTGCCCTGCAGATGCCTGGTAGGACCAAACAGCAAATGATGCATATTAAAAAATATTTTTAAAAATTAAATTTTGATTATTTTAAAATACTAAAATTAATGGCATTGATATTCTCTATTTTCTCCACAATGCACCATCTTTACAGAAATATTTACTCTGGTGACATGCTTAAGTATTGATTTCCTACTTCATTTGAAAAGGAAAGTGCCTTAAACAAAATAATCAAAACTACTTTAGAAAATTTGGTTGTATATAATTTTTTCTAAAGTGTTCACTAAGAAATTTGCTTTATATATACATAAACATACACACACACATAACACACATATTTTTAAAAAACTTTAAATTGTCCATGCTTATCTATGCTCTTCTGGAAATGAATGAACTATCCTAAGGGTTTATTAGTGTGTTTTCAATCTTGAGGTTAGTATCCAATGAAAAACACAGCCCTGAATATTAAACACTGAATGCTTTTGTTGTATATGCCATACTATTTAGTGGCCATTATAACTATTTGGCTAGAATTAAACCCTTTGATAAACTCCAACTCACTATAGATCCACATAACATATTTAATGTAGTTATCCATTGATCTTAGTTCAAAATTCGATATTATTCCAGAATTGATTCTCAATTAATGCCAATTAAATCCTGGAGGCACTTGAAAATCATTTCTAAAAAGTTCTGAACCTGTTGGAATTGATCAAATAACTAATATAATTTGCATAATAACCATGCCATTTAATATCAGAGCAGTACAACTGAAACCAAAACTACAGTGTCATTATTTAGCCTCTAAAAGAAAATTCACATTAATCCAATTTGCATGGCTACATTGTGTGTAGCAAAGGGAAACCATAGCAAGCCAATGCAGAATGCCCAGCATGCCCACATAAAAATGATGGAGTTGAGCTGAATTGCTCAAACACACCTCAAAGGTTCCTGTTTTTCTAAACATTACTACTTTGGTGAGGACCTTCTCTTTTCTCTAAAACCTGCAAATCTTGTGGCTGCTGTCCCCCTAGTTGTTGTTCTTGTTGTTAAGCAACAACAAACAGCACTGAAGATGTGGGCAGTATTGAGAAAGTGTGAATAAGCCTGTTTGGTCAAAGAAATGCTCACTTAGAAGCTAACTACAGTGTGATGCTGCCTCTGTGGTTCTGAATTTATCTGGACCACAAGCATCAAATCTTCTGGTTCATTTTCTGCTTCTATTTCTTTAGTGGCCAGAGCAAGGTGCCCTAAATAATTTTCACTCTCCCGTCTGCTAGAAATTTAGGGTCACCAAACTGTGGCTCCCCAAAAGGGCACACAGAATACACATCTTTGCAATTCCACTTCCTAATATAGTCAATCTGTGGGCTGAATGCTGGAATGAATGAAGTGACCTTTATTTAATATAAAACAAATCATGTTGGGTAAAATGTCCGCCTGTTAAAATGCAAATTCAATTATTACTTTAAATAACTGTCTTACTTCAGGACTAAAAGTGACAGGAAATAAATATATAAATCAACTGGTCTATTTAAGCCCCATATTTCTTTTATTGTTTTGTAAGATCATCTAAAATTGCATGCCGGCTGAAAATTCTTCCAAAGGTGTGTGAATTAATTGTTTAAACTGAGTTTTTATTATTTGATAGAAATAAAATATATACTGGAAGTACTTTACTTTCTATTTTTCCAGTAATGGGGCAATGTGAAAAGCCCTCTTAATAAAACAGCCTTCATGATTCTTTTATATATCTCAAACTGAGTATCACTTTGCCATTATTATCAATCCAATATAAATTTTCACGCATCTAAGTTTCTGGAGAAATTACAAAAAGATTAGTGGTGGCATATGGAGGGACATTTGTGGGTTCAAGCCTACTCTACAAGCAAACAGACCCGCTGATCTAAACATTAGATGGGCTGCTTGATACCTTGGCCCCAGAAGGATTCTTAGAAGAGTGAATCATTAATACTAATCGGGAGAAAGAAAAGATTATCACAGGCCAATGTCTGCAAGGATTTTCTTTTTTAACTTCTTAGGGGTAGTTTTAATCAATTTTTTTAAATTAAATATTACACTGAATAGGAAATGTAAGACATGAGTAATGTACTAAAGACACTGAGATCCCTGTGGAAGAGGAAAATTTTCCTAATTTTCCATTGAAATAAAATAACGATTGGAATAATTAGATTTGGACACTGGATCTTAAGGCATCTCAAACTTCCCCTTCACCCTCACTAGAAATTGCCTTACCAACATTAATGTGATTTTTTTTCACTACTTATGATGATCTCCTTTTAAATACAGACCCCCTGAAATCAGACACTGCCAAAGCAGCATGTTCTTTACTTACCCACAGGAGACATTTCAGGGACTCCCGCCGTGTATGGGCCATCCAAGAATTTGGGTTCGTTGTCATTGATATCCTGAATCTTGATGACAAACTCGGACTCAGGCTCCACAGGCTTGTTGGTGAGCCTGTCCAGGGCCTGGGCTCGGAGCGTGTAGTAGGCCTGCTCCTCCCGATCCAGCCTCTTGGTAGCATGAATATCCCCAGTGTTCTCATCAATAATGAAAATGGAACTTGCCCCTTCGCCTGACAAGATGTATTTGATGGAACCATCTCCTTTATCAACATCAGAGTGAAGCTGGTGAAAAATTCATGTGAGATGAGATTAACTTACAAGAGAGTCAGCGATATGGAGATATGTAAAAATAATTCTTATGTCAGGCAGCAGTACAGGAAATTTTATTGTTCTTGGAAAGATAAGCTGATGCTTATTGTGCACAGCAGAAAGGCTATTAGAATGTGTCAGCTTGCACTTGTGAGCAAGACAATTTCATTTCTTCCTGCAAACAGTCTCATTTCCAAAGGTATTTTCTATCATTCCCAAAGTTAGGAACTTGTGGTGGTGTTAATTTTTATTTGGTCTGTCCTTGCCAGTTTTAGCCATCTTCTTTGAACAGAGCATTCAGTAATCATGTATAATCGGTTGATTTGATCTTATTCCAAGCAAAGGGACTTGCTATAGAACATTTGCAAATTTAGATCTAATAAAGTATTTAATATGCTTAGAACTCTCGCATTCTTTAAGGACACCCTTCCCTCCCATCCCCTTTCATGATTAACAAGTATGGATGGATGTCCAGTCACTAAATCCGCTTCCAGATCCTGTTCTGTATTTTAAAATTTGAAGCCAAGAAAAATTAAACTGCTCTCTGAAGTAGGAATTTTAAATCAGTATGTGCCTGAGACTTCAACTCAAACCTTTCTTGAAATACCAAGAACTGCATTAGATTTGCATGATTAACCCCAGCAATCGGCAGCAGGGCCAGCACCTACTGATTTGCATTTCGTATCTGGAACTGTCCCTGCTGTATGTCAGAACATTATGTTAAACAGAGGAACCTAAGGAAACTCAGACATAATTACACATTTTCCTGAACTTCATAACCTGAAAAACACAGGACTCAATCTGTCATCTCCATGATCGTTCATCCTCAATAACCACCATCATCTGGACTTCGAGTAAGACAAAAGCAAAAACCCAATTTACCAAATAATAAAGGCTCTTCACTGTCCTACAGAACTAGGTTTGCATTCTTTAAAAGACGAGGTGCTACAAACAGAAAATATGGGCAACGACTTGCGGAGGGGTGACAGTAGAACATTTTCTTCCTTCCGTGGTAGGTGTGGAGGGTACCGCTCCTTACGCCGAGGTTTCTGTAAGCGGTTCTTCCCCCATCCTGTAACAGCTGTGTTTATACTGTGCTCTAGAATACTTAAGGACCTGATTTCCCCTCTAGTTTCTGTAGGGCTCAGTAATACAAAAAATTAATTACCAGCATGAGTTATAATTTAGATTTGTTCAGTGTGGAATTATCCACTGTACCGCATGTTGACCCACCCATCTGGAAAGGTTGCGTTCTTGAAATATGGTGAATTGCCTAATTTTCTTAAGTCACTCTCAGGGTTACTGTCGCATCTGTATCTCCCTCGAAGAAGAAAGCAAGCTGAAAATCATTATAGTTTGGATTACTTGAGTGATTCCTCTGTGTCAGGCACTATTCTTGATGTTCTCTAAATAGTAACTCATTTCATGCTCACATTGAATGAATTCATTATCCCTATTAACAGATCAAGAAACTAAGGTAAAGAAAGGCTAAGTGCCTCGCCTGAGGTCACGTGCCCAGTGCTCTGTGGCTGCATCAGGATAATGAAAAACAGGGGCTGTTGGAAAGCTCGATCTCCACTGCCTGCAATAAGATCCTGCCTCTGGAGGGAGACATCTGCGGTCCGGTGAGGTGGGGATATTAAAAGCTGCAGCAGAGGACAATTCAGAGAAAGAAGGGTGCATGCACCTCCACCCCTGATCACCCCCAAGTCTTAAAGAAGCTCGGTGCTTTGAGTGGTTTCCATCAACACCTTTTATGACTTGACAGAAGGGTCCTTTCTTGGCATTACTGAACAGCAAAACACTCTGCCACCTTCAACAGCACAGTGCAAAAAACTTGACTCCTGAGACAAGTGCAGATGATGGATGAAAACAAGCTGTTTTAAGCCGCTGACAACCCAAGTACCCCCACCCTTCCACATACTTCTCATGGCTACACTCCTCACGCCTCCTCACCACATCCATGCCTCTCAGTGTTAGAAGAGTCTAACACTACCACTGACCTTGGTGTGAAACATTAGAGGGTGATCCAATGACCATAGAAATACTTAAGTGACATACAGGTTGTGTCTTTAATCAAAGGCTTGCTAGGTCTCTAAGTCTCATTAGGGACTACCATTTTTAGAACCAGCCCTTATGATTCATTTAACTAATTCCCGTCAACTAATTGCTGTTTCCATCCCATGGTAATACAATTCTCCTATAGTATCCAGGTAAGGGAGAGAGGACTCATTCCTTTTCAATACATGACACACATTAAATCCTGAGCTGATCTTCAGTGGTATTGTTAACTGATCTCCATCACTGACAGCATAAGAGCTCAAAGGAAAAAAAGGTTCATATTGCTTGTTTCTCCAATCATTTGAAGATCGGGTTTCTTCTTTTCTACTCACCACCACCACCACCACCACCACCACCACCACCACACACACACACACACACACACACACACACTCCTGTCTCTGGAGCCCTAAAAGTCATCATCCTTCCCATCACTGACACTTTTCTACCAGCTAGGACCATCACTACGCTTGTAATCACTGCCAGAATTCACAAGCAGAAAATTGTTTTGAGTGTCCTTGCAAGGTTAGTGTAAGCATCTGTATTTAAAAGGGGATGACCACCTTTGAGATGCTAAGATGGATACCTAATTATCAGATGCATTCAGACATTTAATCTGAGACTATGTGCACTAATACTCTAATCTTAATAGGCAGAGTGAAACCCATGCTGTTAACAAAAAACTATTATACTTCCCTGCTTAGAAAAAAAATGCTCAGCAAAGAAAAACTTGCAAGTGCAGAACTACTTAATAGTGACCTTAAGTAAAACACATCTGTGTAGGTGCACGTGCACACACACACACACACATTCACAGGTACACACCATTTTGGGAATGACTATGAGAGAGCAGAGAACCACTGTTCTCCACAGTGAAAACTTCTGTGCAGTAAAAAATAAACAAGCATTCTATGGTCCCACCGTATGGCAAATGAATAAACAATAAATGAAATACACAATTGAAAACAAATATTTGTACTCTTATTTTGGGCAGAGTAGAGCTTATGATGCTATGTCTATTTCATTCACAAATACCCTTGTAAATGTGGTCTTGTGATTCACCTAAACCATAACAGCAACAAAACCTTGATTCATTAATCACCATACAAAACTCACCTTTACTGCATGGATTCCTAAATCCTCTTCAAAGTATTTGTTGTGACTCCAAAGTAAATGTTTATATTATTATTATTATTATTATTTTGTAAATAAACACAAACAGTGAGGAGCACACACACACCTCTTAGCTGGGTCTAGCTCAAGACAAAAGAATCAGTAGAGAAGGAGATGCAATCATGTGTTTCCCTCTATGTCACTATGACAGCACTGTCTATGGTAACAGTGTAAGGAAATGTCACACTGTGTTAGACTCTTCATCAGCTAATGTAAAGCACCCATTACATGCCCCTAAAATGTAGTATGTTTATTTTTTTTAAAGATTTATTTGACAGAGAGCAAGAGAGAGCACAAGCAAGGGGGAGGCCACAGAGGGAGAGGGAGAAGCAGGCTCCCCACTGAGCAGGGAGCCCAACATGGGGCTTGACATGGGGCTTGATCCCAGGACCCTGAGATGACCCGAGCCAAAAGCAGACACCAGGTGCCCCTGTAGTTTGTTTAGTAATCCACGATGGCTCTATCATCCCTTGCTTGACAGAATACCTACTCATTACTTCTAATAGAGCAACTCTTTCTTTTTCGTCTTTCAGCAAGAACCTGAATTTGGAATCTTAAAATCTTTTACTAGAGCTATTATAAAACTCTCCAGTTATTCTCCATTTTCTGTCTCTCAGAAATTATCTCCCTAAAATGCACATATTGAATTTTATCATACCCCTCATCAATTACTTTAAGTTGCTCCCCATGGTCTAGGGATTTACCCCAAATTCTAAGCATGGGGCTCCATGTAGCCCTATGCTAGCTCTTTAGTCTCTCTTTTCCATCACGTCTCAGAAGGCACTCCATGCTCCAGGCACATTGGACCACACTGCCCGAACACCGCAATCTGCACCATCCTTTTCAACACAAGTCCTTCATCATCTTGCCTACCAACTGACATCCAGCTCAGCTTAATGCAAGCTCCCTTGTACTGAAGTCTTAACAATCTTCCTATTTCGTGCCCCTCCTCCATGGCATGCTGTTTGCATTTCTCTATTAGGATGCATTTAATTCTGCTTTATATTGAAAATCTGGCTTGTTTTCTAATTTCTAAACTCCTTATGAGCCAGATTCTTTTTATATCACCATATTCCACATGCTCAATAAATCACTGTCTTAAATTTAGTAAATTTATAATCCACTTTGTAAAATAGTAGTGCTTGTTTTCCTTCAATTTCTAACCTTTCAAGTTTTAATAGCATCTAGCAAAAAGACAACAAACTAAACAAAAAACATCCCGTATCTCTGGATTGTTCTCCCTAATCCTCTGACCTGCCTAGACAGAGCTCAGATATCTCATTTTGAATGCCCACGGTAACATTTGGCTCATTATTCTGAACTTGCACATTTACACATCTGTGTTCCCCAGGAGACAGAACCCTATAGGGGCAGACATGCTTTCTTATTCCTGTTTCCTGAGTTTTATGCAGTAGTATACACACACACACACACACACACACGTACGTGCTGGAGGAGGGTTTTACAGAGCTTTGGAAGAAGGTCTATGATGGAAGAATTTCGATGTCCTTGATTAACTTTTTAAATCTACTATTTAGTTTTTAATTTAAGATTATAAAGACCAAAACTAAAAACAGATCAGTGCACTGCAGTTCTGACAATTTTCTTACATCTATTTAATCAACTAGGGCCTGATACGAACTACCTGGTCTAGTACTGTCAATCTATCGGCTTAAAGAAGAGTCTGAATATGGTGAATGAATCTGTTTAGCAAAGACTAAGCTAAGAAAAAAAGCAAG